ATTCTAATATCATGAGAACCAATTTTTACCCGGAGTAAAATTCACAAGCAGATAAAAGACAGAAAAATATTTAAACAATTTGAATTGCAAAATGGTGTAAAACTGGTGGCTTATTCAATTCTCACGATCGGCTGGCTCGTGAAATCATCCAAAAATATTTATATATATATATTTATGTGACAAACTGTGTCGAAAATTGATGTTTTTAAACGGGTTAACAAGCCCAAGAACACACTTATGTACTTAAGTAATAATAAATATAATGTGCGCATAAATTATATGTGCGCATATATGTATAGATATGTGTATAAATAAACCTCTTGTATTTGAAAACATGATGTTCAACAAATTATTGGTCCCGCACGGGTAGGCTGTAACGTGTTGTTTACCGAATCAAAAACTGCTACTTGGTGCTCAAATACAACATACAAATGTGTATAGTTAATTATTGCATAATCATACAGGTTTCTTTAACTTTATATAGGCTAAATTGGGTACAGCTAACCAAACAATTGGATGCAATCAGGGAAATTGTTAGCTATACATTGTTGTAAGGACCAACATTTAGTGTACTTGATCCATACAAGCGATGACGTCTGGTTATTGAACGTAGAACCTAATTATCGTCAACTATAGGAAGCCTGCAGCGCAACTGAAGTGGCTGGGTAATAAGCCAAGTGGTGAGGAGGTCACTTTTAGTCAACTTGGGAAGGTGACACTAACAATGTCCTTTTGTTAGAGAACACTCCAGTTCTTACACTTTTTCTGGCTATTCTAAATTACAGTCACCTTTTTTATATTATTGTTCCATTTAATATTAATAGCTGTATACTTGCTTTGCAACTGTGTTGAATGTAATATTTATTAAACTAATAAAAATATTGTACCTATTTGTAAAAAATATACATTTTTATGTTTACTTTATTTACGATCTGTCGGCCCGTCCTACGTACGCGAATCGAGTAGTCCATTAAAACTGTATATAGTTATATCAATATTTCTATTCCTAATTCAAGCATAGTTTAAGAAGTTCAAAACTTATTGTAAATGACAAAATGCCAAGATGAATTAAAACATGTGACCATTGTTATTTCCAACCTTTCCTCAAAAATTTGAGTAGCAAAAAAGAATTTTGCATAAGCTTTCTTTTGAAAGCTCGTGAGCTTCGATTCGTATACAGCAATGGTTATACGTAAAATCTTACTTATCTATCTATCTATAAAAGAGGAGCTATGTATACAGTATATATATATGTATATAGCTTATGAACTCCAAAACCGCTCAACAGATTGTAATGAAACTTTCAGGCATTATTAAGCATTATTCAAGGATGGTTTGTGTGAAGTTTGGTGCAAATCTGTCAAAAGGGCTCCGCTCCAGAGCGTTTTAAAGGGTCCAATGTCAAACTTTTGGAACTACAATGTTTACAAATAAATATAATTTAAAAGCAGATTCTTACTTTCACCAACGGTTAGTTTGAATAATCACTACATTCTGTATTAGTCATGATTTGGAATAGTGCCACAATGTTTCCACAGAATGCAGCACAGAAAACTATTTTACTTTTATTTAAGTCAATTATATTAAACCCCAATCACAGCACATCTGTGCACTCAATAACTTTTAAATTCTCCCCTATTGTATTAAAAATGTAAACAAAAAGTAAAAACCTTAATTAAAGTAACAACTTACATATTTATATACCAAATAAATATATACATTGTAAAGAACAATTTTCTATAAATGTTAATAACTCAAGCAATCCGACGAATAAATAATTCACTAACATGTGTACACATTTGTATCATAAAAATTTATATTCTGACATAATTTGTTTACAACAAAACTTAATTACATGAACAGTTATTTTTGGAACTTTTCACAGTTTCTAAAACGATTAAGTAAGTATAATAAATGGTTAAATACCAACAAGCAATTGGTATGCTGTAATAGAATATGTATTACGTTACTAGTGCTGAATATAGGTGTTTACTGGACGAGTGTGGTCGTTCCCGTGCGAGACGAAGTCGTTGTTTATCGAGCGTAACTTATCGGTAAATAAAATATTTAACTTTCAAACTCCGATTGTTTTGTTTAGAGCGATGTTAGTAAAATGTCCTCCTAAGTTTAACTAAATACGTTTATAATAACAAAACAATCGGAGTTTGAAAGTAAAATATTTTATTTAACGATAAATTAGGCTCGGTTTGAATAGTCAAGGACATTCTAAATTATTTAGTGTAAATTATATACTGCATTATGAAAACGAGTGAAATCTTTATCGGTGTTATATTGCGTTTGGAATCACACCTGACACAAAAACTGGTGGACACTTTTTTAGATAAAACTTGGGTTGGCATTCTTATGTTATGAAACTTCAAAATGTCAAAAACTGTCATGATTATATGTAGTGTCTGGAATAATTATATTATCAACCAACAAAATGTAATGTATTTTTTTGCAATAACTGTACATATAAATACCATAGTGATATAAGCATTACGTATTTTCATTTTAGAAGTCATAAAATAGTTAATTCAAGTAAAATTTCAGCAAAAGGTGAACAAATTCCGCTTCTAAGGTGTAGGTGCTTTCGATCCTGGATCTGAAAGACTTTCACATCAAATTCATTATATTCAATTATATCTCAAGAAATGGTTCAATTATATCAATCAATTATATCTCTAAGGGACCCCCTAGCTGGCCGGCTGGGGGATACCCTATGTGAGTTACCTCATTTGACACCTAGAAGCATCGGTCCACCCATTCTCTGGCAATTGTACGATTGTATATATGCCGAGTGGAAAACTGAAGTTCCCTGCGAGAACCAAAAATTAAATACTTCATTTACATGAGCTACATTACAAATTTGGCCGAATCGTAAAACGTAATTGAATTATTGTCAAATTATGAGACAAATTTAATCATAATTGTATTTGTAAATATATGATTAAATCTATAAATAGATATTTTTATACGTGTGTGTTTCGTGTTCTAGTATTGCGAACTGCTTTACCGACATGGCAACATAGTTGGAACATCCACCGTAAGGCTCCGCTAGTTTCCTATAATCAATGACAACATCACAGAGTAAATAAACTAACGTCATACTTCTATGGAATATGGAATATTTTTATATTCAGCCAGCTGTTAGTTATAACAAATTATATTGCACTAAAACAAATTAATGATTTTAAAGCCTGCTCAAAAAAATAAATTAGATCATCAAGTATTTTACTATGCATTTTGAAATAATCTGTCGTCCTCTTACCGAATAAATGAACGTATCGATGATTATAGCATTACTTATAGTATAAAGAAGTCAACCCTACGTATGTAATTTCATTTTTATCCAAATGCTGAATTTGTGTTGCGAACGCTGAATGCTTACAGCTGTTACGTTAAGCAAATGGTATAATAGCAAAAGCTAGTCTAGAATGTTTACGTCGTGAAAATCCGTCAACTAATTGATTCAGAATCGTGAAATAAAAACCCCTATCACGTTTTAATATATATGATGATGATGATGATTAACTTTCAGGGACTGCTATACACCATTTACTTACAAGTAACGTATTTTGTAGTTTCTTTACTTTTTTCTTGAGAATTAATCGATGACATTGAAGACAGAGGCCTCTAAGCCGAGCTTAAGAAGTTAATCAACCAAAATTGTTATAAAAATGGCTATCTTGATATGATTAGAGAGAATAATTTCCCTAAATTAAATTCATCTGTACCTGTAAAAAAATTAGTAGGCCATGGATATATATAATGACATAGAAAACATAATAAACACAAATCACATTAAAATACAGTATTCACAAATTACACGGCAAAAAACAATGTTTGGCACCATCAAAGCGTTTTTCTAAAAATGTTATACATTATATTAGTTTTATGTCATGTTGATCCGAAATAGTATATTACATTACTAGGACCTAAAGTGACTCTTTTTGACCTGTGATCAAGTTAAAAAAAAACTTGAAAAATGAGCTAGGACTAAAAAGACACTTTTGCCCGTGTGGTGAACTATATTTTTCGTCATATCGTATCATTAATTAACAAACCAAGCTAGAAAACTAAATAATGTATAATTTAGGCTAATTTAGGGGCTGGGACACCACCCGACCGTCCTAATCCTTCAGCCGCCACGAATCTTTGCGGAAGGTATAGGTTGGTATGAAATAAACAAAATTGTTTAAAATACACCCAGGAGCAATAATCAAGCAAACCACAACAGTTTATTTAATTTCAATAAGAATAAGATGAAAATTTTTAATTAAAAAAATTTTTCCCGTTACTGTTAGGCTTACGTCAACGTGTACTAATACTAAATATACTAAACAATTTATTTTCTGAGCTCAATACAGTGGTTAAAAACTAAATTGTTAAATTGTGATTTTAGAGTTAAAATGGGGAAAACTTATTTTTACCCCCATGAAACCCCCCACAACTCCCGTTCCCATTGTCCGATCATGCACTTGTTCGTTCCAATGTTTTTTTTTTCAAAATCCGATCATTTTTGCTCGCGTTAACGTGCTAACGAACATACACATATGAATTTGAACGGAAAGAGTTTTTGGCCACGGGGCACCTCAAAACGTAAAAGTAAATCGGTCCCGGGCCTAGGTATTATTGTGAGACCTAACGGTAGTAACTTATTTCCTAAATGGGAAATCCGCTAAAGATGTATGTTTACTTTGTTGATAAATACTACACTGATAACTACACTAATTAATTTATTGCGCTTAATTCCAAAGAAACATACAAATATCTAGCATGCTTAAAGATAAACATTTAAAGAATTTCTTGGTAGAATTACGTTCAAACATATGGACTAGTGCAATCAAGTGGTTTGAAACTAATTTTTAACCTCTTCAAACATAGCCGAAACCAGTTCCCTAACACTTTATATCTCCCAATGTAGGACCTTGAGGTGGTCGCACATCCCCGGCGGCAGATGCTCCATGACTGTTGCACAACACAACATTGGCCTCCAACCCGCGACTCTGCTGTGACAAGAATATTGTCCCACTTCCCCGTCTTTGGCCTTCGATCTTCCTGCGACTCTCGCTGCAACATTCTCCGGTCCCGGCTCAGCCTACTGCGACGACGGTTGTGTGTGTCTCGTGCCATGGAGTAGCTGCTGGACACGCGTAGCTGCTGGACACCCGTAGCTGCTGGACACCCGTAGCTGCTGGACACCCGTAGCTGCTGGAAACCTGTAGCTGCTGGAAACCCGTAGCTGCTGGAAACCTGTAGCTGCTATGGCGTGGCTGAGTGTCCTGGTACTGGCAGCCGCAGTGGTTGTCGTCTCGGCCCAGCGGAGTTGGCTCTTCGGCATCAGACCTATCGTGAGTATCAGATAGATCTCACCCAGTGAGATCTCACTCTCACGCCACTACCATAAATCAATATACTCCTTAGGCTTAAAGATGTTAACTGTTAATTAATTAGCAACTGCAAACAACTAGTATGATGGTCTGTCTGTGGCAGTATAATCAGCACACAACAGTTTTCTGCTAAATAGAATTTAGACTAAACTCGTAGCTAATCATTTATATATTCGAATGTCCTGTCTTAATCCCGGTAACCGATTCATCCTCGTTTAGTAGCTACATCCTCAGTCCTCTTTATTATGATCAATACATAAAATCTTTACATAAAAAATGGGATAAATTATTTTATCTTTAGAAATCTTGAAAAATATAATTGTGTTGAAAATAAGATACATATAAAATTAATAAAATAGAATAACACATACATACTCTTACTGGCGTTGACCTTTGAATACTTGTGTTGGTATTCAAAGGCACTGTAAATTTGTATAATAATACTCTTATTTTATTCAAAGATCAGAACTCTCTCTAGCTGCAGCAGCGATACAAGGTGGACTGACGAGAAGTAGTTGCATCATCTCCTCCTGTCTTTATCTGTTACAGAGAGGTTTATGTTGTACAATGAGTTGCAGCACAACTGCAGGACGACAGTGAGTGACAGGTAGCTGCAGTAGTGATACAAGGTGGACCAACACGAAGTAGTTGCATCACCTCCTCCTGTTTTTATCTGTTACAGAGAGGTTTGTGTGGTACAATGAGTTGCCACACAACTGCAGGACGACAGTGAGTGACAGGTGGCTGCAGTAGTGATACAAGGTGGACCAACACGAAGTAGTTGCATCACCTCCTCCTGTCTTTATCTGTTACAGAGAGGTTTGTGTGGTACAATGAGTTGCCACACAATTGCAGGACAGTGAGTGACAGGTAGCTGCAGTAGTGATACAAGGTGCACCGACACGAAGTAGTTGCATCACCTCCTCCTGTTTTTATCTGTTACAGAGAGGTTTGTGTGGTACAATGAGTTGCCACACAACTGCAGGACGACAGTGAGTGACAGGTGGCTGCAGTAGTGATACAAGGTGGACCAACACGAAGTAGTTGCATCACCTCCTCCTGTCTTTATCTGTTACAGAGAGGTTTGTGTGGTACAATGAGTTGCCACACAACTGCAGGACGACAGTGAGTGACAGGTGGCTGCAGTAGTGATACAAGGTGGACCAACACGAAGTAGTTGCATCACCTCCTCCTGTCTTTATCTATTACAGAGAGGTTTGTGAGGTACAATGAGTTGCCACACAATTGCAGGACAGTGAGTGACAGGTAGCTGCAGTAGTGATACAAGGTGCACCGACACGAAGTAGTTGCATCACCTCCTCCTGTCTTTATCTGTTACAGAGAGGTTTGTGAGGTACAATGAGTTGCCTCACAACTGCAGGACGACAGTGAGTGACAGGTGGCTGCAGTAGTGATACAAGGTGGACCAACACGAAGTAGTTGCATCACCTCCTCCTGTTTTTATCTGTTACAGAGAGGTTTGTGTGGTACAATGAGTTGCCACACAACTGCAGGACGACAGTGAGTGACAGGTGGCTGCAGTAGTGATACAAGGTGGACCAACACGAAGTAGTTGCATCACCTCCTCCTGTCTTTATCTGTTACAGAGAGGTTTGTGAGGTACAATGAGTTGCCTCACAACTGCAGGACGACGGTGAGTGACAGGTAGCTGCAGTAGTGATACAAGGTGGACCAACACGAAGTAGTTGCATCACCTCCTCCTGTCTTTATCTGTTACAGAGAGGTTTGTGAGGTACAATGAGTTGCCTCACAACTGCAGGACGACGGTGAGTGACAGGTGGCTGCAGTAGTGATACAAGGTGGACCAACACGAAGTAGTTGCATCACCTCCTCCTGTCTTTATCTGTTATAGAGAGGTTTGTGTGGTACAATGAGTTGCAGCACAACTGCAGGACGACAGTGAGTGACAGTTAACTGCAGTAGTGATACAATGTGGTTCAACAGGAAGTAGTTGCAACACCTCCTCCTGTCTTTATCTGTTATAGAGAGGTTTGTGTGGTACAATGAGTTGCCACACAACTGCAGGACAACAGTGAATGACAGGTAGCTGCAGTAGTGATACAAAGTAGATAATCTTTAGCAAGATGTTATTTGGTTCCAGGAGGAGGTTGCTAGAGGTATGGGATACGACATAGAACGTCATAACATCCCAACAGCTGATGGATACATTCTCTCTTACCATCGCGTGCCTCGTGCTCGTAGGATTAACAGAAGTAGTAAACCATCACTTAATAGTAAAGTATTGCTATTCTGCAATGGTATTTTACTATCATCTGCGTCTGTTTTAGCTGATAGGAGAGATTTTGGTAAGTCATAACTCACATTCTAAAAGTCTAAAACACTTTGACTTTTAATTTCTTTTTACATTAAACTTAGACCTATACCAAGTTCATTAACGAATTCATCCTTCAAAGAAAATGAATATATACTTTATGTAACCACTCACCTATGACTATAATAGATTTACTATTCATGTAGGAACAAATTTCAGAGGTTCCTTGTAACCCTTACTAACTGATACAGTTATGGTAAAACTTAAGTGATATACCCAAAACTTTGTTTCAGCGTACGCATTTGCAGACGCAGGATTTGATGTGTGGCTGGGTAATTACCGAGGCAACTTGTACTCCAGAAAACACAAATACCTTGACCCAGATCACGACACTCAGTTCTGGGACTACAGGTAATATTAAACAAACTGGTATTTTACAAATACCCTAGTACCTAGTTTTGGGACTTAGTTGTGCTTCATGTAACACTAATACTTCGACCCTCACTATTATCCTTTGTTCTGGAACTATTACCTATAACTAGCCAAAGTGTATTCTATAAGATACCTCGACCTAGCTAGTGATTCGATGCTCAGTTTTACATGTGTTTCAGCTTGCACGAGCTCGGCACGCAGGATTTGACTGCCAGCATAGACTACATCCTGGGAGTGACAGGGGCGTCTCGACTGGTGTATGTGGGGGTGTCCATGGGAACCACCATGTTCTGGGTGCTGGGCTCTGAGCGGCCGCAGTATATGAACAAGATAGAAGCTATGGTAGCCATCGCACCTGTAGCTAGGATATCCCAGTCAGGTCTACTAGGTACTCCTGCTCGCTACAGCGCCGCTCAGGCCGCTCTTGTAAGTAACATTCTCGTCCCAAATTTGTTTAATACATTTTAGGAAGTAAAAATTCGCATTAGGGTGAACCAACGTTTGAATCCTAATTACAAAAAAGAAGCAAATGCGCAAACCGCATCTGTTGTTTAGAGATGCCGATTGAGTTTTTAGTCTAACATTATCAATTGAATACAATTGAATTTGAGCTTTGAAATTATTTCTGCCATTCAATGATAGCGTTTAGTGATGTATTTTGTTTTCAAATATTTAATGCCTGTTGGGAATTTTAATTTGTCAAAATCAGCCATGACATTTAGGCGTGAAAGTAACATTATGTGACTTTTGTTTTACTTAAAGAACCTAGAACACAAGAGCGCAGATAATAGAAAAGTCCGGTAAATATTCTTTATAATATAATCCAGTGTTGATTAACCCACAGAAGTAGAAATCAAATTATCCCTTGATCAATATATTTTTTAGGCAATTTAGTTTTGTGTATGTTTTGGCATATGTATGTCAAAATAAAACACGATTTATCTTTAAAATATAGATTTACAGAAATACACCATGATTCATTATTATTCTTAATGATTCAAATTATTTCCTAGGCTAAAACACTACCTAAATTGACTTTATAATGATTTAATTGCTATCGTGTGCGTATAGACATTTAAATATTTAGGAACACTGATGTAAAAGTCGGAATTTCTTTTATTTTACAACTTGTCTCCTAGTAATCTTACATTACTTGACAAACTACTTTAAGGGATTGGTTTTGAATAGCCATTGGACGTTTAAACTAAATCCTTTGTTCAAAGTAGGATTCACAATAACTTAAAAACAGAAACGAGTGCACAAATAATTAGTAAGCGATCAGCAAGAGTTACCGTGGGCGAGGCTTTCCTTTCACTTTCACTCAAGCTTAATTCTAGGTTGCCCACTACTCCTATTTTTCCCACTATTTTTAGGTTGGTAGAGTCAACAACAGTTGACCTTACGGCTTATTTATACTGATAAGTACCTCTTAAATTAAAATTACAACAACATTTTTAAATTTAGCCTACCGTACCCTTGCTTTGGTTAATACATCCCTTGAAGTAGAAGCCGCAAATGTACGCATACTGATTAAAGCCGTTGTAAGCTACAAGGCATAAAATTTTTTTTTAACTTGCTGGTCAATATATAGGCAATATAATAGGTAGATGGATACAATTCTATCCCAGCACGATAGGCTGTGTAGTTTAATTAGAGGAGGAAATGTGAAATAGCCTACCCTCGCCGCAGCAAACCTACACTAAGCGAATTTCCATATACCTCGCTGGATTTCCACTAAATGTTTCCTTAAAATAGTCAGATTATTATTCAGATTTTAAAATTACATTAATTTCAATGAGTACTTAGGTTTGGTACTTAAAGGGAATGTAAAAAGGTGTGATTTTTATTTCTTGATAGCTTTGTATGAAATAAAATATTTTCCTAATTCGATCGAAGTATATCCATAAATAATCAAAGTACACCTTATTTATTTTATCATCCATTAAAATAACGTAGACATTTACAATTTGCAGTGAACGGATGGCGTTTTTGGTCTCAGGGGACATTAAAACGGAAAATTAAATTCTTTCTGGGTCTAGGTTTTAGACCTAAGGTAATAGCTTATTCCCTATATGGAATAAAGATAAGTAACGGTTACTGTTTAAAACCACTAAGAATACTTTTTCTCAGTCATCAAACCGGGGACCAGTACAGAGAGATGATAACAAGCGATTACAACCTAGCTCTTAATTACGACATATTTTGTTTCCTCGCATCAGATGAAAAAAATTAGGCTACAAAAATAGACCCCTATTTGAACCCTTCCTCTATACAGTTGGCTGTGGAGGCGCTGGGCTTCAGAGAGGTGTTCCCGTACAACGCCACGTTGTCTGGTGTGATGTACGCAGCATGTACCACCTTACGTAGTGTTAATACCCTGTTTGCTTGGTACAGTTGGCTGTGGAGGCGCTGGGCTTCAGAGAGGTGTTCCCGTACAACGCCATGTTGTCTGGTGTGATGTACGCAGCATGTACCACCTTACGTAGTGTTAATACCCTGTTTGCTTGGTACAGTTGGCTGTGGAGGCGCTGGGCTTCAGAGAGGTGTTCCCGTACAACGCCACGTTGTCTGGTGTGATGTACGCAGCATGTACCACCTTACGTAGTGTTAATACCCTGTTTGCTTGGTACAGTTGGCTGTGGAGGCGCTGGGCTTCAGAGAGGTGTTCCCGTACAACGCCATGTTGTCTGGTGTGATGTACGCAGCATGTACCACCTTACGTAGTGTTAATACCCTGTTTGCTTGGTACAGTTGGCTGTGGAGGCGCTGGGCTTCAGAGAGGTGTTCCCGTACAACGCCACGTTGTCTGGTGTGATGTACGCAGCATGTACCACCTTACGTAGTGTTAATACCCTGTTTGCTTGGTACAGTTGGCTGTGGAGGCGCTGGGCTTCAGAGAGGTGTTCCCGTACAACGCCACGTTGTCTGGTGTGATGTACGCAGCATGTACCACCTTACGTAGTGTTAATACCCTGTTTGCTTGGTACAGTTGGCTGTGGAGGCGCTGGGCTTCAGAGAGGTGTTCCCATGTTGTCTGGCGTGATGTACGCAGCATGTACCACCTTACGTAGTGTTAATACCCTGTTTGCTTGGTACAGTTGGCTGTGGAGGCGCTGGGCTTCAGAGAGGTGTTCCCGTACAACGCCACGTTGTCCGGCGTGAAGTACGCAACCTGTATACCACGTTATGTAGTGTTATACCCTGTTTGCTTGGTACAGTTGGCTGTGGAGGCGCTGGGCTTCAGAGATGTGTTCCCGTACAACGCCCCGTTGTCTGGCGTGATGTACGCAGCATGTACCACGTTATGTAGTGTTTATACCCTGTTTGCTTGGTACAGTTGGCTGTGGAGGCGCTGGGCTTCAGAGAGGTGTTCCCGTACAACGCCACGTTGTCCGGCGTGATGTACGCAGCATGTACCACGCTCCGTCCCCTGCGCCAGATGTGTCACCGCATGCTCAGATCCTACGAGGCAATCACCGGCGACGACTGGGACCCCGTAAGTTTATAAGGATTATTTTGTTCCTTTAAACATTAGTAAAACAAATGTTTGCCTAATAAACAACTTCCAATAGAATCGTACACAGTTAAAATTTAGTGTCAAACTGCAAGCTGCCTTTCTCGATTGAGGAACATTACATTAATGTTTACTAAAATGCGCATAGAAAAGGTAATTTAGTATTTAGTTATAAATGTTAGTTTACTTAATTTCAATTACTTATGAAATGCTATACTTATTCCTTTCTTGTTTAAACTATTAAGTTCTGTACCAGAGGAGTATTTACTTGAAAGGCTAAAAAAGGCTGAAAAATGTAAAATTGTTTTATACATTATAGGGGACTGCAAATTTGAATCTTTTCTACTAGTATGTAAACAAATAATCTCCTGTATACGAGGAAATAATGAGGGGAACTAAAAAGAGTACTAGATCTACATAGTCAAACGTACGATTAGTGTAGGCCTACTTTGAAATTGAACACGTCTGAAATTGATTTTTTTGAGGGGCAAATCCTTCCAAAAGTGGGGGAACCACTTCAAAAGCAAATTGCAGAATTGTTAATTTTATAGGCAATTTCGTTTAGTTCAAGTGTATATTAACTAACGGTCATAAACTCTTATGAGCAACTACGGAAAATAGCCCGTACTGTACTCCCGAATATCAGTTATTTACTCTTTGCGGTCAGCTCAAGGCTACAAGAGGACCAGGATCTGTGAGTAATAACTTATTGTCTATGTCCCTCACACTCACACTACGACCTTGTCTCCACCGCCACAGACAGCTTCCTCATCCATACAAGAATGTTATTGTTTCAACGATTGAGATTGGTAAGAAGAAAACGCCACATGGTGATACACTTACACCTACCACAAAGAGGATCATGTTCTTTAGGAGGGGGAGGAGTTTGCAAATTGTGTATATTTCCTTCAATTTAGAGAACTAGAATTGTATCTATTACGGATTTTCCATCCTTGATTTTGTTATAATCTATACTATTATATAAAAATCTAATGGTGTCTGTCTGTATGTGTATTACTAATAGGTGCAAAAACTACTGAACCAACTGGGCTTAAATTTTACAAAAATATAGTTACCATACCAAGGACCATTATAGGACTATTCACACTTCCATACTGACCGTGGGCTTTGCCCCTTTGGCTTTTAAAGTTCTGAGATGAGGATTTTAAAAGTAAATATTGATTGGTCTCCATGGCCGCAATGAGAATACTCACAATGCTTACATTTGCTTTGACATTTCAATGTAAACAAGAACTGCCAAATTGCATATTTCACATTTTAAGACAGCTGATCCAATGAAATTTAATATAGGCTAATATTTCATACAATTATGTGGTTGGTTTATTTAATCTAAAAATTTATCAAAGATCATTTATTCAAAAACTATGTCAATGATTATAGAAATAAAAAAATATTCTAAAAGCATTGCTCAGGCTCTACTTTTGATTTTTAAGGTGTCTTAAGTGTTATGAAAATAATGTTATATATATATTTTCATGGAAACAATAAGAAAATTACAATGTATAGATGTTTTATATGAATTTGGAGTCTATTTTAAGTAAATTCGAACTGCTTAACATGTGTTAGATTAACTTAACATAACTTTCACATCACATTGTTTTTTTTTTTTTATATGTATATTTAGGTAAATTTAGTTATTGTGTTTTGCTAAACCAATGCTTAAATTAAACTAAAGAATATCATCAATAACTAAATTGTATATCGTTGATTTTTCTTATTTTATCTTAACATAGCTTTCAGTTCACATTTACTTTATTTGATAAATTTGTTATTTGTGTTTTGTCACATCACTGATTAAATTAAACCAAAGAAAATATAATAAAACTAAGCAGTACACAGTGTGCTTTTGTTTCTAAAATCAATGAAATATCTGTTACTACGTTTACTTAATGGTAAGTGTGAAAATGTAAAGGCAAAATAGACAATGGAAATGATTAAAAGAACTGGTATGATATTAAGTTGTTTGTTTATATTTTTGTAGAGTAGAATCAGAGATGCAATGAAACATATACTGTATTTGCTATTACATTCTTTTGTCCTTGGTCCTTGATGCTTTGATAATCATATTAGTTTTTTCTGCTGTCGTTAATGCTAAATTATTTGTTTAACATTTTTTATAGTACAGATATAGTTTCTTTAACATTTCAAAAGACTATTATTGTTATTATTGTTGTGATAAGGCACAACAATATTTATAAAGATTATAACAGCTGACTTAGTTTTGCTTGCTAATGATTTATTGTGAGTGAAGAAACTGAAGATGGAAGGATTTGTGATTTAATATGAAGAAGAGTGAAATTAAAAAATGTTCATTTAAATTTAAAAATTAGTATTTTTGCAGCTTAAAAATTGAAATTTAAAATGTCAAAAATAAAGAAAAAAGATATGTAACTAAGAGAGATGAAGGTAAATCATGTATGTGAAAGTTTTATTCGAAGATTTGGTCAGTTTTTCTCATATCAGCCTAAACAAGATTTAAAATTAATCAAACCCAAAATGGTGGTATCCACTACTTACCAGATTTAAAAGTCATAACTTAAACGTTTCTATTAAGGCCATAAAAGTTGAATTTTGTTTCTAAAAGCGTTGGTGGATGTGTAACTTTATTAAATGCAACAGATGTAAAGATACAAATGTTTCTATTTTGTGTCCTCTTCCCGTTGCAAAGCACGGGTACAACAGCTAGTCTTAGATATTTTAATGATAACGTTATTAAATTATTTATAGCAAAATGATGAGATTTACCTTTTCATTCAACCGTATACACAATATATTTCTATTTTCATCACAGGATCGAGTTATCGAATCGTTGAAGTATCATCCTGCAGGAATATCTACTAAAGTACTTCAACACTACGTTCAGATAGCAAGAGCACGTGAGTTGCATTGATACATTAAGCTTAGAGTTTTAAGTTCCAAGTAATTGTTCCTTGCAAGATACAAATGTAGTTGATCAATACGTAATCCAAAAGTACTCAACCGTAAGATACTTTTGTAATGTTTTAGCAGTGTCAACGACACAAAATGTTATACAGTAATTTTCACTGTTTTTGTGACGACAGAATCCTCTCAGTTACCGTTTAAAGAATCTTTGGAGAATCAAAACCAATGTAGCAGTTGAATTTACATCGTGATTTACTACAAGCTCAGTTAATATTTTGTTTGGTGTTGTCCAGACAAGTTCCAGCAGTTCGACTACGGCGCCGTGGGCAACAGACGACGCTACCGCAGTGACGCTCCGCCAGAGTACGACCTTCGGAACGTTAACTGCAGTGACGTCTACTTCGTCAGCAGCGACGCTGACATGATCGCTGACAAGGAGGTAACACAGCAAACTTCCTCGGCATGAAAATTAACTATTAGAATTGATTATATCATAACTTTTGGAAAGCATAAGTAGTCATAATAGTCTACTGTTAGACAAACTCTAGTGTAAACAGTTACCGAGTATTTTCCAGCAGTTTTAAGGAAGAAATAGGCTATGTCCGTATACTGATTTCCAGAGCGCTATTACTTCACAGATGCACTGCATACAAGGGTTTTCTTTTGTAGTTACAGAGCTGTCTATTTTAGAAGATTTAGATAAAAACTATATTCAGTCGAATATGAGCGTTGTTCTTCTCAAGCCTATAATTTTGAATTAATAGGCATAACTTTTTTAGAATCGATCTTAACGCTACAAACTTTTAAATAGCACTGTGAGAAGAGAACCAGATGAGGAACTATTAAAATACACATTTTTTAACACATTACAGTTATTGGCTGATTACAAAGGATGATTAACCAGCATGTACTTTCGTAGCGTCCAAAACTGCTGACACGCGGACTGCTACTAGCTGGTTGATACACATAACCTAAGATAGTTTACCCGAGTGAAAGTTTGAACTAATTTAGAGTGACTGAAGGACGTGGAAATATGTGAACGATGCACTGTGATCTACTCTTTTGTATTAGACATAAGTGTAACGAAGTATCGGTAAATATAATTTTGAACTAGCATTGACAGTGCAATGTTCATTCGAAATTTGAGATTGGAAATATCATTACTCGGATACCTGGTCGGAAACAAACTTATTCCAAAGAGCAGTTAAGTACGCTACTATCGGATTGATAGCACTCCAAAATTCTGTACTTAAATGCTATTTGAATTAATTTCACTTCATGATTACAGCTATCTTGTCTCTGTCTAGGATGTAGCCTGGCTGTCAAAGCATCTCCCGAAGAGACCTACAAGGATCCTCCAGAACAATGTCAACCACCTCGGCCACGTTGGACTAGGTCTAGACAGAAGAGCGTTGGACGTCCTTGTCAAACCACTGACTGCCTTCCTCAGACAAAGATACGTCAAAGCACGTCATAAGTAATCAGACTGCATGTGTTTCGTCCAAGTCAGCTGGTCGTGGACAATTTAAACTGATTTAACTCCTCAGGTATAAACATAAAAGCTGACTGTACAAATCCCCCCGCTATGTTGCAATTTTCTCCAACAACTGACTGATTTCTCAAGCTATAAACATAAGAGAACCAACCACACTCTTCTAGTCTGAACATACCCCCCAATGCCACCATCCACGTTGAGCTGGCCTTTATATCCCAACCACTGAGTATGTTTTATCTATGGAGCTAGCCACGTCCTGCTAGTCTGTACAAATCTCAACCATGTTTTACATCTTAAACCATTGACTGATTTCCCAAGGTATAAGAACACAACATCAGAAGATTCACCACATTCTCCTAGTCAGCACACCTATCTCAGCCACGTTTTGCTGATTCTCTACATCTCAAACCATTGACCGACTTCCCAAGGTATAATAACACAACATCAGAAGATTCACCACATTCTCATAGTCAGCACACCTATCTCAGCCACGTTTTGCTAATTCTCGACATCTCAAACCATTGACTGACTTCCCAAGGTATAAGAACACACACCAGAGGATTCACCACATTCTCCTAGTCAGCAAACCTATCTCAGCCACGTTTTGCTGATTCTCGACATCTCAAAACATTGACTGACTTCCCAAAGTATAAGAACACAACACCAGAAGATTCACCACATTCTCCTAGTCAGCACACCTATCTCAGTCACGTTTCGCTGATTCTCGACATTTCAAACCATTGCTGACTGACTTCCGAAGGTATAAGTATACGACATCAGAAGATTCACCACATTATCCTAGTCAGCATCCCTATCTCAGCCACGTTTTGCTGATTCTTGACATCTCAAACAACTAACTGATTTATCAAGGTATCATCATTTGAGAACCCGCCGCTCTCTACTAGTCTACACATCTTCGTAGCTGTATAAGTCTAGTCACTAGTGTCTCTAAATACAGAATTAGGCCTAGCATTCCAGGTCAAACAGAAAGTTTCCCTAGAAATGTGTTATTATTTGTTGAAGTAAATTAAATATGGCAATCATTGCTTTGCAAAATATTAAATATGCATAAATTGCAAATATTTTGCCGTTCTTATTTACCCACGCATTTTATCTTGTTATCATTTGATGTATTTATAGCATAGCTTTACGACTTGTAGAAATAAATAAATTTTTAGTTGTAAGTTAATAGCTGTGCAACTAAGTTTGTATTTTACAACATCATGACAATTCCAAATCTCTGAAACCAGTAAAAGGGTTTTAAATATAAGTGGAGAACCCATGAACAAATGACATTCTGATCGTCAATATTATTGCTTAAATCACGATGCAGAAATCCAACGTATTCATCCAAACAATGCTATTTTTAATGGACTTTGTTTGATCTAAGTGCAAATTTCCCACATAATAAACCAAATGGAAACTCACATATTCTGCAGCTTGGCTGTATTTTATTACAGGACTATTTTATTACGTTCAAAGTAGCACATTTTCCATCACTTCTAACAATGATAATTTTTTCTTCTTTAACCATATAAAAAACTATATTTTATTTTGATGCTTAAACTTTGTTTTTGGTCTATTTTTAATTATGGGTACTCTGCTAGTAATCTATATAGGCCTACAAATTATTCAGGACAAACAAAAGATTATACTCGTTAAATAAGTAAAGAAAAAAACAAGGTCATATAACTTTCTACAAATTAGAGTCAATTTTACCTTACTTACCTATTACGTGTATGACAGTCAAAATGTGTATAGAATGGCCTGTTAACTTATTGATCAGAATGTGTCTCGTCATCATAATTTATGACCGATTACCCCAAACATTTCGACAATCGAAAGGCTATTAATACATATTAAGTGGATGAGGTCCAGCCATTTGGGCTTAAATTACAAAATGTATTAAAAATGAATCAAACGTGGTGTAAATAAATTAAACCAGTCATTTTTCTACCACATCCCACTAAACAGACATTCGGTCAACATTATAGAGGTTTGTAGTGAAAAAATAACAGTACTTTCAGTTATACCACACTAATTCGTGACAATACCACGTACGAGTATTGGGTACTTAACTGAGGCCTAATTAATAGCGACTTTTTTATTGGCGTAAACTAAAGAACTTCAAGTAACTATAAAAGTACTTCAAAATTATTGAAATCCAAAAAACCTATTTAGTGAGCGTTTCAGTAAGATATGATTTGGGATATGAAACAATGGTTGGTATAAGATTTCACTCATTGGAATGCCAGAGAAAACGAATGCAATAATATAAAGATCGTCTTTTGGATCATCTTTAATGCATAATCATCATTTATATGGTGATTATTCAATACTAAAATTCTAGAACGGGGTTCTTCGCATTTAACTACAAAAGGAAATAGAGTAGTGATAAATAAACAATTGCAGTGCCATCAACGACTGCACACCAAAAGTTAACATGTTTCTCAAGTGATACATAAGTTATAGTATCTTCTAAAACAGATTATAAACGTGAAAAATGTCATGGTTGACGAAACCCAGCTGGCACAGGAAAATGGCTGTTATATTGATCCTTGTTCAGCTGTCCATGACATCACGACCAAGCATAGTTACGGTTACGGTACGTACAACACAACCAAACAGGATTGTTGGTCTACTTGGTGCGTTTTGAAATGTTTACATGAGCTAAAATGTAAATATGTCAAAGAGAGGAGGTGCTAGTGATGTCAATGGTTTTATATCGGTAAGTTTCTTAGATTTTTTACAATAAAATTGTCTTGTTTTACTGTTAGGTATTGTGCAACCAATACCACGAACCCTGACTTTATTGATCAGTAATACTGAATAATAATTAGGTTTGCGTCATAATTTGATATAAACTTACTAATAACTTAGTTGTGTTGTCATACTGTTAGTTGTCAATAAGGAGATGGGTCTTAACAAATTTGTATTGAATTTCAGAAGTCAAGAAATTGTGATATGCATTATGTACATGAATACAATGCTTTACATTTTCAAGCAAATTGAATTCGGTAAAACTAGGCTATGATAGTTTAATATACAAGAAAATATCTTCATAGCATTTACATAGAATTGTTTAAATTCAACAGAGTGAAAATGTCGGCCTTAGTCAATAACAAGACTACAAGATCGCGCCACTCATCCTACACTCATCCTTCACACATATTTGGGTTAAAATACGCACATAGTGGCGTCCCCATCTTAAATAATTGATAATTGAAAAAAATAATTGATATGTAATGTAGTTTATAAACCTGTGAATAATCATCACATGCCGTTATTTAAACATATTAAATCAGTGTAAAATATTATTTTTGTTATTGGTATTTAACAAGTTTAAACATGACGTATAATTTGCTAAAATGTGGCAAAGGTATCATTGTATCATTGTATCATTGCATTTGCATAAAATATATTTAAATATCAAGTATAATTTATTTACTACTACGTTTTTAGATTGGAGCTGAGAGTAAGAGTGCCAAGAAAAAAGTTGTCAATGCTACTAGCAAAAAGGAAAATGAAGAAACAATTAAAAAAAGAACAGAATCGAACAAAGAACCAACCAAGGGTAGGACAAGGGTGAGCAAAACTTCTGAGACCAAAGAAATTCCTTCAAAACTGTCTTCAGAACAAAGAGGAATAAAGTCGAAAGTCGACCTTGATAAAAGTGCAAGTAGTTCAACTAGTAAATTAGCAGATAAAAGAACTGTGAAACCATCACCATCAAGAAGTAGAGCCCCCTCAAATTTGTCCAGTGATAAATTAAATAAGCCAATCAAAGTAGTGGAAAAGGCACACCTCGAAAGTCATCCAAAAAGAAAAGAAGTAGTTTCCTCATCACATGTTTCAAGTGAGTTTATTGTTCTTTGAGTATAATTCAAATGAATATTGATTTGTTGCATTTGATTGCAGTACGTTTTATAAGGGAGATCAGAGATACACCCTAGTTAAACAGCTTATCCATTAAGTAGACAAGTACGGTACAGTTAACTTATTACTATTAAGAGAGGTGGGTTTTGGACCAAACTAACCACCATGTCAAAAAAGTGTGTATAACTTCCACCATGATGTATAACTGCATTTCCCATTGGAATTGTATTATTACTTTATCTATGTAGGCTACATTTACCTTTGATCATCTATTTACTTTTATGATCTCTATCTTTTCAACTCCATGTTTCAAATGTTCATTCCTGTTCATTACAGTTAAATATAAATATTAACTAATTGTAATAAAATAGCAAGGAGCTCTTACCTATATAATCCATGGTATGTTTTGCAGTTTTGAATGTTTTTTATAAGATTGGTTGGCTACCTTTAGCTTTTACAATAAAAGAGTGAGGTACTTCTTTATACCTTAAAAAAGGTTAGCTTTTTTTAATTAGCATATACTACTTTTTAACTGCAGCACATTGTTAAGAAGTCTCTATTCTAGGGATACAGCCAATCTACTCAACTACAAAATTATTGGAATTATTGGATAATTAGTTGTTTGAGATAGTCTTGAGAAAGTTGAACAACATGTAGGACATATTATTTCAAGTTATATTGTTACAGGCAAAGGTGTGAAATCCAAAACTGCCCAAAGTACTCCTATACTGAAGAAAGCTCTATCAGTTAGTAGTCAATCTAAAGGTTCCCCCTACAAAAGTACTGTTGCTCAAAAAACTCAGTCAATCACCTCAGGTGAAAGATTGAGAAAAACAAGTCAATTAAAGGAGGATCTTTCTAAGACCAAGTCTTCTTCTACTACTGCATCAACCAAAGGAACAGCAAAAAAACTTGAAACAGGATCAGTAAAAAGAAGTAGGAGCTCAGCATCATCAACATCTAAACCACATAGAGATGGAGAAAATAGGTATCAAAAAGCAATTCCAAAAGTAACAGAAGAATATGATGATGAAGTTGAGCATCAGACTAGACCTTATGGAGAGATTCCTCGCAGTAACACTTTTACAAAAGAAGGAAATGAACTTGAAAGTATTACAAGTGATTTATCTACTGACCTAAATCAGACAGAAAATGCCTTTAGCAGCCTTGGCAATGAGGATGTAGACAATGATGAGTATAAATACGAGGAAGACTTTGAGGTAAGCGATAGGCTATGTTAGCCTGATCACCTTTAATAATTAGTTATATTGATTAATTTTATTTTTTGTCTTGTTTCCGGACCAATTAATTGACAATAAATAAAAAGGTTAAAATACCAGATTTTCGCCTTGTGGTCCAAAAAGGTTTGTCCTACTGGATTATGCGCATTTCGGCACGAGCGCTATCGTCAGATCGGTATAGGAACTACAACTAATCCCCTAATTCCCTAATAACTAATTCCCTGGAGAGGTGCATTGAAGGTTCACAACAGAATAACAAAAAAACAGTTTTACTTTTTTGCTACGCATGCACGGGGAGGATATAGTCGTCTTATATCCTAGCAGGCGCGCTGCTATATCATGCCCGTGCACGCGACGCAAAAAAGCAAAACTATAAGTTACGTAATGACAAATTTGAATGAGATTAGCAGACAACTAACCCACTTTTTAGAACAATTAATTACCCTCAATCTTGTGATCGTTTTATCTAGGAGTATGTATGCAGTGGTTTTGTCAGACTATGTGCATCATGTCTTGTGAAACTATCATCAGCAAACGGACACAGTTGAGAATACTTTTTGTAATGACATATCATAGTTTTATGAACTTTTAAAACTTTTAGAATAATTTTTTTTAAATACCCTAAATTGTGTGCAAATATAAGTCAAGAGGCTGCCACCCCTGAACATATTAGTTGAATATCAATCCTCCAGAGAAATGATTTGGATGTTATATTTTATTCAACTTTTATTTTATAAATATAATGATTGTGGCAAACCTCATGTACACTTATATCCTTGTTTGTAATAGGATTATGAGTCAGACTTTGAAGAATACATGGAATCAGAATCTAGTAGTTCAACATCTGAGGAGAAGTACGGCTCACAAAGTATTAGTAGCAGTAGTGATTCTGAACTATTTGACGAAGATAAAATGGGCGATGGGTTCAAAAGTGGTTTACCAGAAGTAATGAAGAACTCCCAGAACAGTTCACCCGTAAAAAGTGTCTTAAAGAAAGACATCGCCTCAACAGTTTCAAATAGTTCAAGCAATCAGCAAACTACAAATGTTAAAGAAAATTTACTGAATGTGGAAGAGGAGAGAAAGTTAGATTCTGGCAGCTATGACCTAGCGAGTCATGCAGATCTAAGAAGAAGAAAACAGATTATAGATATAAAGGCTGCTATTGACAAAGAAAATGCCAGTCTCAGTGCTAAAGGGTGAGTACAATGTTTTAATATTATTGTTATTTGTTATTTAAAAAGTATATGTGAGTAGTGTAGGCTGCACCCTTCGTATTGGTACTTTCACTTCTTATTAACTTTTACTGTAAATATTACTTTTAGGTAAGTACATTATATAATTAAAAGGACATAAGGTTAAATTTATATTTTTCTGATAACAGTTCAGTTAGCAATCATAGTAAAAAAAAATTACATTTCTGTTGTAACAGTCTGTTTTTTCATAATCCAATAACGTTTTTAATGTGTGGAGTACAAAGGTGGTTCTAAAACCTCTGCTCCAGACGAAATATTTCTGATGGCGTTGACCAAGATGATAACATCGTTTCTACCTTAACCAGAAGTGTAAAATTGTCATCTTTTGGCTGCAGTATTATTGTCAAAACTTCATAGATGACTAAGTTAAACCATGTAAATGCATCCAAATAATTAGTTTATTGGCATCAATAAAAGGCCAATACCTGATTTATCAAGGCGTGATCTGTATTGGTGCAGAATTAACCTTGTTAGATTCCAAATGCAACCTTAGGCTGGTTACACACTGCACTGGTGTCGTAGGGGTAGACATTGTGTCTACGACTACAATTCTTTCCTGACCGAGGTATGGCGCACGTGAAACCAACTCATTTTGTCAAATCAGAGCTTACACATTGCTTGCGACACATGTCTCATATGTCATCTGTCGACAAGAGAGGGCAAGACCTGTCGGTCAGTGTTTGGCAGTGGCAACCTCAAGATTTATTTTTGAGGGAGATGCCCTCTCTGCTAACTGGTAAAATAAAAAGTTTAAAAAATAGTTTTTTTGAGTTACCGGTACATTTAATTTTTTTTACATTTCTTATCAAACCAAACCATATTACTGTAAACTAGGAGAGGAGAGGGGATCCTCACTAAAATTTCAGGTAGGGATCCATCCCCCTATCTCCCCTCCTAGGACCACCACAACTGTTTGGTGATATAACATATAAGACATCAGGCCTGGCACATGTGCACTGGCACTCATATCCCAAGCAACAAGGTTCATCTGTCTATAAAGCACGTTTTGAGTGATAAATTGATCACATTGTGTAGTTTCATCACGCAATATTGTTGAAATTTGATCGTTGGTTCAGTTGTTGGATCGACAAAATTAGTCTTGTTGTTTAAAGATTGGGACAACCGTATCTAAAATCATGCACCGTCAACATCTTTTTTTGGCAAGGGCGATTGTCCACCAATTATTGCCTTCTGAGGGCATCGTGTACTCAATTAAAGTAGGTGAAGTGCCTCGAAGATGAAAAAATATTAGATTCGCAAGAGACATACATGTCTCTTTCATTTTCATCAGACACAACATTTGTGATGTACCAAGATGTCTGTGACACCAGTGTGAAACCTGCCTAAGGGTGAATACATAGTGGAGTGGCATGGCTAGAGTGTAGTGGAGAGCGTAGCTAAGCGGGGTTTAGATCATACATGTACGTAGGTGCGGCAAAACATAGTGGAGCGGGGAGCATAGCGAGTACCCCCGCTAACACGCTTAATTGCCTCTCCGCTCCAAAATTCCACCCCGATTTCTTTACCTTGAGGGTTTGGTCGAGGGTCGAGCCTCAGTGGTCAAACCGACATTAAATTGTAAATTTATTTCATCAGTTCGAAGAACACCGTCCTGTTTGGGACAAGAAATGTTTTTATTACAATGTGTGAAATGATATAGTAATAGTGTAATTACTCTTGTCAAAAGGTACAGTTTCCTATTAAGTGCCATACTTAATATCCTGTAAACAGTTTTTTCTTTCTTTTTTATACACTGATTAGAAGCTTCTATAAATATATCTCACAATTTTATTATTTTAAATATGCTGTAGGAAGTTGTTCAATGAATGGCCACTTTGCTGTGTTTTACTATTTTCACCATTCATTCATATATTTACAAAAAACAATTCACATTACCCTCTTGATTTTTAAATTATATTCAAAAGTAATGTATGCCCTACTTCAGCCTCTTGTCTTGCTACCGTTGCCGCTCCACCATGTGCATGTACAGCTCCGCTACATCGTGGGTAAAAAACCTCTCAGCTACGTTCTCCGCTACAATCTAGCCTCGCCGCTTTACCAGTGTTTCCATTTGCGGGATTATTATCCCGAAAACGGGGTTTTTAGACCTTGAGCGGGAATAAAACGGGATGCGGGATAAAACGGGATTTTCGGTTGTGACGGCTATTATTATTTTTTTTCCTACTAAATAAAAAAAAAAAAACTAACTCAAATTGTTTAAATACTGTAGCAAAATATAATTGTGATGTTTAAACAACTTATAAAAATGATACGTAAAGTTTAATAATTGTGTAAGTATTGTAAAAAAAAATCATGCGGGATAAAACGGGATTTTTCACCAATTCAAAAGCGGGATTAAACGGGATTTCTCGACCCAGTAAGCGGGATTATTTTTTTGGTCGTGTGGAAACACTGCGCTTCACTATGTTTTCACTCTAAAGCAGGTAATGGCACTATCATAATCCCTAGAACCATTTGCAATGGGAAACTCCAACTACTTTACCACCCTAGTCATAGAGAACAACTAGACAATCGCAAGTAAAATTTTGTTGTTGTATTTGTTTAAGGAGTCGGAAATCTAAAGCTGTTGCTGATGATGAAGGATTTGTGGAAACGTACAGTCAAGAAACTTCTCCAATATTTGCAGATGATTCATATTCCCCTTCTGAACGACTGATTAATTTTGAAAGTGCAAGGAAGCAACAAATTAATCAAAAGGTACATAAACTGAATTTTTTTCATGTTAGCTGGATTTGATATCAAGCTAGGTTTTCTCCGTCAAGTGTTCTCAGTTAGGTAAATGATGTGGAATCCAGTAATAAATACATCAAATTTGCTTTTTTTATGAGAAGATGATTATAATGATCAGTACCGTACAGTAGATCGGTATTGACATACTGGTGTTTCAATTCTTCCCTCTTGTTATAACATAACATAAATCTATTTTTCGTCACTGGTTACAGAAAGAAGATATTTTCGATTACAGCTGATGAGAGGAAATAATGGTTTCCCAAGCTCTATTTGGAGCAAGGAAAAATTGAGCTGATTTTCCCTCGCCCTAAATTTACTTTCCCTTGCTATCAATCAGTTCTCCTTTAGCCTGCTACGCTCACTCTCTACCTGTTTCTTTTCCATTAATTTTTACTATTTGAATCATGTTTTTCCTGTTCAAATCTAAATGTTTAAACAGGAATAAGCTTACGCTTAACTGTGTTTTTATTCAGTGAGTGTTTAAAACTTGTACCGAAAGTGATTTTCCAGCACTAGCTACATATTATTCCTATCCTCAGCTTCTTGTAAGTTAAATTTGCCTTTTCTGTGTTTGACTTTGCTTACTCATGAAGCACACACCGGAAAATTCCTCTTATTTTTGTTACTGTAGTTCAGACCAGTTTGTTAGTTGTGTGGTACAAAAGGTGTAGTGGTATAGGAATACAAGGCATGACAGGGATCTTCTTACTGTACAACTTCCCTCTATCATTTTGTGAACAAATGCACCTAGGTGTGTATTTTAATGCAAATATGAGTAAAAAATAAGTTTTGAATAAACAAGATAATGCCTTTGTTATTGACTAAGATCGACTGGTTTTATAACTAGAACCATTTCTTAAAAGCCCAATGATCAAGGACAGATGAGTCCATTTTCTAACCGTGTGCACAGTCTAACTCCAAATACCCATGTCTCCCTCTCATTATAACACAACTAAACTAGTAGTGTAGTAGTGATTTATAGTGTGATAATAGCATTGTTCTTTCAGGCCAAAGCAAAAGTTAAAAAGAGGGGTGCAATACTTATGGAAATGATCAAGTTAGACGCCATTTCTTTCAATTTGTTAGATATACCTTCAGTGCCTTATGAAGTTTATATGCAATGCTATGGACAATCTAACACTCTGCAGGTATGTTAGTAACTTTATTTTGTTTGTTTGGTAATGTATGGTTCATATTAATTGACTATACTATTTACTTACTATATTATTTACTTGATCAAACACACTATTCCTAGGGGATTGTATCAAATTTGAAGTATACCAATGTTTTATAGGAATCTCCTAAATATTACGGCTACTTTAGCAATCAAGAACAGTCCTGGCCCTCCCCGAACAAAATAACTAGGTAATTACTGGAAAAAATCTGAGGGGATTAAAATAATTTCTGGATGGGCATCCCACAATATCATTATGATTGCTAACTATAACTATGAAGTTTGAGCAATATCACAAATTTTGAGATGATCACAATCTTTCAGGATTTTGTTACGATCAAAATATTGACAGAGTAATGAATCTTAGTCATGATGTCATCATAATAAATGTACATTACACCACATTGATTTGTTATTACAGACAAAAATTAATTGTTATTTTAATTTTAATTGTGTGTGACGCATGCCCAGGCATGCTTTTAAAAACTAAAATCGTTTCTGAAATTAGATAGACATATTATATCACAAAAACTATTAATAGTTGCCTTCTATTGACATTAAAACACCGTACATCTATTTCATAGGTTTGTGCAAACCCATGATCGATCGAGTGAGGACATGAGAATAATGATAGGAATTTTGACAAAACTGCAACAAAAGTTTTTTTATAATTTAATAATATTTTTGGGGATTTACAGCATTGCTAAATTATATCCAATAAGCTATTCCCAGGTTCAAGAGCAGTGATGATGGTACAGTAGCGCATGCTTCTGAGGTCACACCTGATTCACACTACATATTATTTGTGCATGCAAATAATATCTCCAGGGCCGATTTACTGAATAGGCACGGCAGGCACGTGCCTAGGGCCCGAGGCAATTGGCTAATTTGGGGGCGGGGAAAAATTGGAAAGTAAAAAAATTAGTGGATGTATTTCCATGCGATCGTGGTAAACTTCTGATTGTCCCCGCGGCCGTGTGGACTTCGTAATTGCCTCCCTCAATTGCGGCAAAACTCTGACTATTTTCCACAGTCGTGTAGACAATTATCGTCTTCCATGATCGTGGCAATATGTGAACAAATCCCGGGCTAGTGAGAAGATTATAACCAGAGATTACAAAACTCTGATCTTTTTCCGCGGTCGTGTGGACATTATCATTGTCTTGCGTGACCGTGGTCAATTTCTAATCACCCCCTAAATTGAAAATTCCGGGTAGAAATTCAAAATTCATGCATAATTCCTCGTTCAAAAAAATTCACACATAATTATTGGATTTCCCGGTTTTCCCGGTTGGTGGACACCCTAATATATATTGCAAAGGGGCACTACTATTATTTGTGCCTAAGGCACTGACAGAGTCAAAAACGAATCTCTCCTTAATCTCACCTGAATCTTTGTTGTAAATTGGATTTTTACAATTATTTTCAAACCCTTATGGAAACTTTCCAGCACGACAGGGCTATCTGCTGGCGTGAGTTGGTTATGGTTTATCTAATATTGCAAAAAAATAAAGTCTTGTTTATTTCTTTAGTGAGAAAAGTGTCACGTTAAATTTTAAGAGGACTTATCCAACATAGCCTTTTCTTCTGTTCCAGTTTCTGTTAGGTTGAAGGTTACATATATAGCTTTTCATATGTACCAACAATGAATGCATTTATTAGATTGGTTTTATTTCCATTTTATGCAATTTTAAGATTCCCTAATGTGTCAACAATCATTGATGTATGAAATATTTATAACAAACTATCATCAAAAGTATCTTATCTAGTATGTATCTCACGATTATGTTCAGTACAATATATGTTATCACATTGCAGATCCACACACAGACCAATGAGGATGCAATAAGTGAGGAAGTTCAAACTGAAGACATTCATACCACAACCAAGTGGACACAACATCCTGTCAAATACTCTTCTCCCAAATCACCAGAGGATGTACTTTTCACTTTTGCTCAGGTGTGTTAGCTGTTGTTGCCTGTACACTCAAAACATAATGTTTATTTTTATCAACAAAACTGTTGATTATGAATTGAATCTTGTTGAATCAGTTTAAAAATGAAAACCTGGCCTGACGTTGAAGTATTATAGCTCTATAAATTAAACCTTTTACCAACTTTTAATTTAACGAACCGTTTTTAATTTTTACTGTACTCTTAGTAATTTTATTCTGAAAACTTAAAGTTGATTTTAGTTTTTTTTTTACATTTTACTGGCTCTACATGAGCTTTCTACTTCACTGTTCTATCAAAGTTAACGATATAAGCTTCTTTATCTTGGATTATTTTGAGATTTTACCTATGAAGTATCTAATGAATCTAACTCAATTTCCAATTTTTGCAGGAAAAGCTGGGTGTGGGGTGTGAAGCCACTCAAAGTGATGAAGATTGGTTTCCCAAATTGCATGTTAATTCTTTGAGACTACATAACTTCATCAACAATGCAGGAGAAGTAAGTATAAATGAAGAGTTTATGAATACAATGACAGATTATCTATTGATTTTTCGGGTTAGTGTTATCTTATGGATTTAAACATTATATAGAGTACAAATCATAAAACCTGTTTCTTTATCCCTCTGATTGTGCATCACCTTTTCCGTCTGCCAGTAATAGTAAAGTTGAAACATGGAAACAGTTTCCTTGTAGTTAAAAGGGATATAATATTTAATGTGAAGCTATACAGGGTGTCCCGGAACTCTCTACCAATATTTTAGGGCATTGCTCCTGGGTAAGAAACATTACTAAATATTATAGTTAAATTGTCCGGAATTCCTTGGTTACTCACACAGCCGCAATTTTGTTTTTTTTCAGTTATTAATTTTTTTCTAAAGAATGGTTAAACATACGAAATTGAAACTTTGCACAAACATTTATGACAAGTAGACAAAACTACAAAAAAATTATGACGATTTTTCAAATTCATAAAACAAAATGGCGGCTCTTTAAAATTTTCTTTCTTAAATAACTCAAAAACCATTGATTTTACAAAAATTTTAAATGGCCGCCATTTTGTTTTATGAATTTGAAAAATCATGAAAATTTTTTTGTAGCTTTGTCTAGCTGTCATAAATGTTTGTGCAAAGTTTCCATTTCGTATCTTTAACCATCCTTTAGAAAAAAAATATAACTGAAAAAAAAACAAAATGGCGGCTGTGTGAGTAACTAAGGACTTCCGGACAGTTTAACTATAATATTTAGTAATGTTTCTTACCCAGGAGCAATGCCCTAAAATATTGGTAGAGAGTTCCGGGACACCCTGTATATACATGCAAATCTAGCATCAATTTGCACTAAACTATTTCACATTCACTTAAATAGTTCTAACAATACACCAAACATTTTTCTGACACACCTCACACCAAGGTATTGACTAAACTGGCTGGAGTTTGGAAGCTCATACCTTATTCCTTCTTAGCCACACCTTATGTACAATGAGATTAAACATTTATACTCTTAAAATTTGCTTAAATCTCTCATTGGTGCCATTAATAAAAATAAACCTATATGTAAGGTTTTATAAGCAGGTTTTGTGTGAAAATTATCAAAACCAAGGGTTTAGTTTACAAGGAACTATTTTTTTATTAAATTGTAAAGTATGTTCTTAAACAGAATATTTTTTTCTAGATGATTCTCACATTGTTAGAGGAGGAGGAAAGGGACAGGAAGATAAAATTGAGCAATAATACTAAGAGAGATTACGGATTCAGTGATAACTCTATCAGTTTAAATGTCCAGAAAGTTGGATTTCTTCACAAACGTCCTGTGTCCTTTGTTTGTTTCTCAGAGAGCAATGTTACTCACATCTTAACCGTCCACAAATCTTCAAATGAGGTAATTAAAGTAATCAATACTAATTGTATCTATCACTATTATGTTTGTGTTATACGATTTTTGGTTATTATTTACATTTTCTCACCTAAACAAAAAATGTATTGACGTTCTTCATAGTAATGTGTAAATTGAGTCTGATACATGGGACTTGTCATTGAGGCGTCCCACCTGCATTCAATCTTAACCCCTTTTATATTCTGTTGGCACCCACTTAACCCTTGTGATTGCATATGGGCCCTAGACCTGTGCATGGAACATATCAAGCAGAGAAAAGGTAGAGCTTATGGTGAACTAGGAAGAACAAAGCTGTAGGCTACTTATAAATGTTTCTGGCCCCACTGACAACATTGCTGCCATGAACTCATTGAATATGATGTATATTGCACCACTGACTGAGCCAACCTACTCACTTATTGTCCAATAAGTTTTAACCAAAAGTGTGAATTACAAATTGGAATTCTGTAGAGATATTACAACTAAATGTGCATCGGAGTTAAAGAATCAGAGCTATATAACTCCACATTTGTTATTTTTTTTAAACTTCACACCATTTACCATCAATATATTTCAACTTACTGCAAAAAAAGAGGAAAATCTTTTAAATGTTAGATGGATGTATATTTTATACTGTACTCATGTGGTGTTTCAGCAGCCAATGACCATTCAAGCAGAGTCCGAAGGTCGATGTATTATCTGCACATGGAGTGTTCGAGAGCCAAGTCAACCTCGTCACACACTAGTAGCGTCCAACAACGTAGCTTCCGCGTGCTATCACTCACATCTGGTGATAGCTGGTCTCATTGATGGGTATGGAATTAATAATCAATGTTATATAGACTCTTACTTGACATTACCCAACTACCAAAGCCCAAGCTCTTCTATATAAAATAACCTAAAATGTTCATCCCATAACCAAGAATTAAGTGGCCAAAGACACTACAGTTGGTGAAGGAGAAACAACATTAGGAGTTTACCCTACACAGTGTAATGGTGCGGGAATGCGAGGAAATGGCGTTCTCACTCTGCTTTTTCCAAAGAACGTATATAAAGTGACCCGTATTTTTCTGTGACCTTGGTGAGTGTTTTCATAATGGAAAATTAAAAAATTTACAACTTCACCACTGACCCTACAGTCCAAATGATGTTTTTGGCCTCTGGGAACCTCAAAACAAAAAAGTAAATTCGTCCAGGGTCCAGGTGTTACCATGAGACCCATGGTTATTATTCCCTATATGGGAAATTCACTACAAATTGGAAGTTTGTTAAGTATTTTCACAAAGAAAACCATGAATTCAGAAGAACTATCTGAAAAAAAAAATGTGTCTAATTTTGATTGACTAATTTTTCTGCCTTATTTAGATTTAACTTAAAATTAATTGTACAGTAACCATAATCTAGTGCCGGATCCAGATGCGGCAAAGAGGGCTTCCACCTCCTGGGGCATATTTTTTTTGTACTGCATGTAAGGTGGATTGAGTGGCTTTCTCTTGCGTTTGTGGTGATGGGGATGGTGATGATGTCATCACCGATAGTCCTCCAGAAACACATTGACTGACTCCACCAACTTTAATTATTATACACTGCTCTCAGATAACAATGTTCTGCTCAATTTCAGTTAACAAAAGATGGTGTTGGGGGGGGGGGCTTCACCTCTAATCTCGCCCCCTCAATCTAAAGATGGATCTGACACTGAAACAATCAAAGAAAACAATTCCACTAAAGTATAGTTCTTATGTATCTATTCCTTTTTGGCAGTAAAGTGTTGTAGTTGAAATTTGTGGTTTCTCTTTACAGTGCCATATGTCTATGGGATTTGAGAGAACAGTCTGTTGTTCATGCCCGCTGTTATCTCAAAGAACCAGAGTGGCTCCTTCGTTCACCTACATACCTCACTGGTCAGTATACATATGTGCTTTTTTATAACTAAAGCTAGTCTTTGGTATAAAAACCCTACAAATATTCAACTTATAATACAATTTTGGATTGGATGTTCCTTTAGTTTTGTGTCCTCATATCTAAGGACACAAAACTAAAGGCACATTTGTAGGTGACTTAACAGTGACAGAACAATACAGATGAAGATGGATGGATAGCTTATATAACGTTTTATTAAACTATTTGTCTAGACAACCCCCTTCAAATTAAGGTGATTGTTGAGTTAGGCCCGGTTTACACAAGCGACATACCTAGCCGACTAGGCTGTGACTAGGTAAGCCCGACTGGGTAGCAGACCACAGGATCAAATGGAGCCGTTTATAATAGCGTAGGACGCCGACTAGCTAGCCGTGTTTGAGCTTGGTGTCCCAAAACCCAGTCAGGCCCCGCTTCCCAGTCACTCGAGGCAGCTACCCAGTCACCTGGTCGAGCGGCGTAGCAGTACACGTAGCCTTATGGGAGCGTTCACACGAGCGATCGGGTAGTCGCGCTGCAGCTCACATTCTTCCCTTTGTTCTCATTGTGCACCAGTTATGGATCCGAGTGGTTTTGATATCGATATTTTCATCTAGTCCGTGGACATGTCGCTCTTGTGAACCGGTGTCATCCTGTGGTACGCTACCCAGTCGGGCTTACCTAGTTACAGCCTAGTCAGCTAGGTATGTCGCTCATGTGAACCGGGCCTTAGTGGCGTAGCAAGGGGGCCGGTTGGGGAATCTCAACATTGATGAGAGGATTTAGACGTGTTGGCAAAAGATATTCAGGATTACGCCACAGTCGTTGGGGACGTTAATGTTTCTCTGAAATTGTGGCGTGTCTGTTCAAGATGTTAGAATTTCTTACTTTATTATGTACCAAAAGCACTTTAATATCACATACGAGTCAAAAGTACTTTAAAAATACACACAAAACTTATCGCTGTTTAATTCTGTCCTGAAAATCTAGGGATAAAACTTGAAATCCTTTACTTAAAATCCATTGATACCACCCATTTGTTTACTGTTGATTTAGTATAACAAAAATAAATATTGCAGACATATTAAAACTAAGTTGAACCCTGGTCAAGGCAAATACAGTCAAATATTTTATTACTTTTACTGCTGTTCAAATTGCCTTGTCATGTCTATGATTCCTTAGAATTTTGTGTTTTCAGAATGAGTTGTGGAAGAAAACTACAAAACTGAACAGTCTATTCAATTCAGACACCGTTTTAGCCTAATAAATTTGTATTCTGTTAATGTTAACACATTTACAATTGATTTTTGCAGCTGATCTTGAAAAGGGGAAGCGACACACAAATTCAGTAGTTTCAATAAAAATCCTACCTGAGAGTAATTTTGACGATACTGCCGTAGCCATATCAGAAAAAACACCAAATCAGGTAAAGCGATCAATTTCACAGTTTATCTTTTGGAAACTATTTTATAAGTATTTTACTGTACCTACCTAGTTGTCATAGAAGTTCTAAATTATATTTAACAATCAACTATCTGTTTGGAAACCATTATAATAACAGTAACTTAAAAAGGACTTTTCTATCGGCTATGGTAAGTTCTCAATTAATTTGTCGCTTGCAAGACAAAAAGGCGTAATTATATAGGCTTATATGTATTTGTACGTTTCTTCATCTTGCAAGTATTAAAAAGGGAATTTGCCGTACAAGCACAGGATGTCCACCTCATTCTTAATGCCATAGATGGATTGTATCTGTTTTTCTACGTCCAATATTATGAAAAGGATCCGTATGAAAGGCGTTTGTCATTTTACCAGTAATCATTGTATACAGCTGTATTGGGTCTGTAGAATACCATGAAAAAACCTCTTTTTGAGATAACAATTTAAAACAGATTTTATACAGTTTTCAAGAAGTGGCACTTAAGTTTAAGGACACCTCAGATATTTACTAAGAAAACTGAACGGAATTTTATGCTGAGTAAATATTTTGGTTTAAAACCTTATTGGAAAGTGTAAAATGTTTGATTTTATACACCTAAGTGTAACTGTACTCTCATGTTACACTGTTAGGTTGTCAGTCTTGATGAAGATGGACTATTGGCTGTGTGGACGATTGTGGAGTCAAAGTCCATTGTCAACATAAACTCAGGACTTGCACCTTGGGGGAGATTACGATTAGTTCAGTCATCTCAGCTCAGGGTTGTCAAGGCTTTTCCCAAGTGAGTACAATTTGTTTCTTAATTCATTAAAATCACATTTAACCTGCAAAAAATCACTGATAAAATATTCATCCAAAAACTTCCATCAAATATACTTATACAAGTATTTGATTAAATAAATGTTTTTTTTTTGTTCTTCTGCTTCTTGCACATCATCTTCTGCTTGAGTTGCTTCACGTTGAGTTTGCGAGAGTATTTTCAACTCCAACATGTGTAACTTAATAGGTGGATCAGACCTCAAGAGGTACACTCCCTTCCCTAGCTTGTGTTCCACCTCAAAAGGTTCAAGCCATTTCCGTGCCATCCCTGCATGCACATTTTTAAGCTTACTACTCAAGGGATGGTTTTGCCGAAGAACCAACGTACCCGGTTTCAGGTCCTGTTCTTCAGGTACATCGTTTCTCTCTGCTTCCCTCTTCGAACTCTCTTCGGCTTGTCGATTCATATGTTTGATTTGTTTTGCGTTTTCTTCATGCCATGCAGTCAAATTCATAGTTTCAGGAGACTTTTCATGCATAAAGTTCCACTCACCAGTTCTTTATATTTCCCGACCAAGAAAAAGTTCTGCTGGGGAGATGCCTGTGACGCGATTCACTCGCTGTCTGATGGCCAGGAGAGACTCATGCAAGTGTTGATCCCATTTGGTATGTTCTTTGTCAAACAATTGAATTCTGAACAGCTTCTTAAGCTCCTGATTTCTCCGTTCAGTAGGATTTGCCTGAGGATGCTAGATTGGCGTTGTCCAGTGTTCAATAGCCCACTCAGTTAAAGTCTGCAACCATGTTTTGACGTGAACGGACTGCCATTATCTGTGAGAAGACATCTTTTTAATACTTTTTGATGAAATGGCGACCATACAAAGTAGGTATTTTAAGCCAAGTATGAATGGAGATGAGTGTAGGATGAGTGGCGCGATCTTGTAGTCTTGTTAGTGACTAAGGCCGACATATTCCTTAGACACAGCTGTTAATTAATAGCCCATGCAGCTAATGGCAACTAAAAGGGACCTACAGTTTATAGTGGAATCCGAACCACATTTTTGCATTGCGGATAGTCGTAGTACTCACTCATGCGGACATTAATCCACACCAGAGAGTATCACATCCACAGTGCATGCCTATAAATATCCACAATTCGTGACCTCCTAGTAACTGGATTACAGGACGACGCCACCCGTCCCAGTCTATAACCATAACGACTATATAACCAGTCTATAACCAGTCCATTGTGGATAACCATAACGACTAAAGACCTCTGTTCGTAGGATCTGTAGGATTCTTCCCGATGTAGCTTCAGGAATGGTAAATGCTTCGGCCCACCTGGTAAAAAGGTCTGTCACCACCAAAATTCCAGTCTTCCCCTGAAATCCAAAAATGGTGTTTCAGGCCAGATCAAGGTGGGATCCAGTGTAGCTGCCTAGCTGTGGACAATCTCAAACCCAATAACTTATACGTTGGCACCAACTCTGGCCTGGTACTCCACACTCAACAGACCTCATGCAGAGCCAAGCCACAGTTCTACACTCAGTCATCAGGTGAATATTCAACTGTTATTCTCACTCAACTCTAGATCACACTCCTTAATTTTTTTTTGTAAAAAGTTTTTTGTTAAGTGGGTAACTTTTTACGGACAAGTACCACCAGACCTTGAACTACATGTTGCCTTACTGCTGCAGGAACTCTTCACTACCCTTTCATGAATTTTTAGCATAAGGTTCTAGTTGAAATCGTGCTGATTTTGGGAGGGGGGATGAAAGTGAAGTTTTGAATATTTTAACAAGTACATGCAGTGTATGATTAATAAAGGTTGTGATAACTTTATTATGTGTTGTAGCAGAGTAGAAGCTGTACCCTACACTTTACTGTAGCTTATTTACCATAACTGTGGTAATCCGAACATACCTTAGAAATCCTACAATTACAATGGTTGTCAAATTTGAACAATTTACACATAATAGCATTTCGGAAGTGGTAATTTCCTAATTGGTAGTTTTTGAATTCCTGCCAACAATCAACAGTTGTTGTTTTGATCAGGATTTTTTTTGTTTCTGGTACTTGAAACATTTGGCCTTTTTACTTTTTGGAGATGTTGTTAAAAGGTTGAGTTTCTGTTTCTATTGTCTTTGACCAATAGAAAACATATTTATGATAAAAATAGTAAATAACTCTTCTAACTGCAAAGGAAGTTAAATTTATTCTCATAGATTAAAAGCTTGGTTTTATATCTGATCATAGCTATATTTGAACTCCAAACATTGTACTCTATACATTGTAGAAGGAAAGTGTATATATCTGCTTTCATAGAAGGTGTATAATGCTGCTATTATATTTTTGTTTATGTTCATTGTTTTTTGGCTTTGGATTTTTGGAAATGACAACATTTTAAAAGTGTTCTTTGTAACTTAAAAAATGGGATACATTTTTTATTTCATGAATTTAGGTTAAGGAATGGTTAAGGGTAATAAGCAACATCAAGCAGGCAGACATATTTGTCTGTGTCTCTTATTACTTTGTGTACTGTTTTGTTGTGGGCAAATTTTACTCTACCTATACAGTTAGCTGTAATCATGTACCAAAATCATTTAAGCACAGTTTATTCTATTTATTTTTTTATAAAAAAAATGCCACCAGAGTAGACAAAAACAAAAAAGCTGTTAGTTATATACCAGCGTTTTTGCATGGTACATAATTTATTTGATTTTTTTAGGATCAAATGCAAGAATCACCTGTATAGAGTTTTCAAGGTGTGGATATCCATTGTTCATGGTATGTATACAAATCTTTTAGCATTTATTACAGCCATTATAGGACTGTTTAACCTATATACAAGGTATGTTCGGAAAGTAAGTTCCATTTACCCTACTCTCCGGAGCGCTGCGATCACATTTTAACACATGTGCAGTAGTTATTCTGTGTCAACCAAAAGGAAATTATGGCATTTTGAACTCGCTATTGTTGTCGTACACTTTGTAGCGCTTGTTCATAATGACTGTGTTAATTGACAATCCCGCCTATTGTGAAATTTGACCGGTGATTCGTTTTCTCAATGCAAAAAACTTTAAAGTAGTTGACATTCACCGAAAAATCTGTGAGGTTTATGAGGACAATGTAATGAGTGATTCAATGGTGAAAAGATGGGTTCGACAGTTCAAAGAAGGGCAATCAAATAGGCTTAATACAGTGCATGATGAGGAATGAAGTGGACGTCCAGTGTCCACCTGTGTAAACGATAAACTGATTGGTGCAGTCAATGAGAAGATTAAAGAAACCGTAAGTTTACCATAAGTGCTCTTGCACGTGAATTTCCACAAGTTTCACAAACAGTAATTTACGAGATTGTTACTGAAAAACTTGACTTTTGTAAACTTTGTGCACGTTGGGTGCCTAAAGCCCTTTCTGAATGGGACAAAAACCGCCCCTTTTGACTCTTTATGGCGAGAATAGAATGGCGATACATTTTATCGCATATAGTCATAAGAGATGAATCTTGGGTTGCTTGTGATAACTTTGAAACCAAGCGTCAATCAATGGAATGGAGGCACACTACGTCCCAGGCAAAAATCAAACAAAAGCAAATCTTGACATCTCGAAAGGTCATGTGCACAGTTTTCTGGAACAGAAAAGGCATTTTGCTTATTCATTTTTTGCTGCGAGGCCAAACAATCAATAAATATTCTTATTGCAAGACACTCAGGAAACTGCGCTGCGCAATACCGAATAAGCACCGAGGAATGCTCACAAAAGGGGTGGTTTTCATTCATGACAATGCTCGACCACACACCCCAAATGAGACAAAGACACTTCAGGGCTTTGGCTATGAGACGTTTTTGACCATCCTCCGTACAGCCCTGACCTCGCTCCAAAAGCAATTTTAATTTGTTTCGCAATCTGAAGTCTTTTCTTGGCGGTCAGCGGTTAATCTGCGATGAAGAGCTGAAAGAACGTGTAACCTCGTGGTAAACTACACAGGCGGCAACATTCTACAAGGAGGGTATACTCAAACTTGTACTACGCTATGGCAAATGCCTCGAAAATTGTGGGAGTAATGTCAAAAGATAGTGTAAGAGTTGTAGATTTTTTAAATATTTTTACTTTCTCCCCCTATACCATAGTATATGGAGAAAGTATTGTTTTCGTCAAAATTTTCGAGTTTGAGTTTTGAGTGGATATATTCGTTTTGGGTCCCCCTGGACCCAAAAAAGTGGTTTTCGAAGTGATGTCTGTGTGTGTGTGTGTGTGTCTGTGTGTTTGTATTCACCGAATAGTGGCATCCTTCACAGGCACACGGCCGTACTGTGGCACCTTCAAAAATTGTGGCACCTTTTTCAGGGTGCCACAGCTAATTCGATCATTTTTGAGGTTTTCCAGCATTATTACGTCGTTTAAACATCACATGCCACAAGTGAGTATTTTTGAACTCGTTGATGTGAGTTTAAGTAGCGCAGGTACACACCGAATTGTGGAACACGAAACCATACAGGTAGCTAGCGCGCCTCGCGCCGTCCGCCGGAACTATAACTTTCCTAATGCTACGTTGCCAATTCTCGCGCCAGCTTACACTCAAAATAGTGGCACCATGCCACAATTCAGTATATATCAACAGTGTGTGGACAGGATGCCACTTAATGAGCTGTAGAGCTTGAGCAGTGTGTAGAACAGTGCAACAAGCAACTAATAAACTAATAAAATACTATACTGCCACGTACTATAAAACAATTTAAGTACCATAAATAATATACTTTTGCTCCGAGTGGTGAACAATGTTTTACATTACAAATAATTTGTGTAGTAAATAATAATTTAAATTGATTTACCTAACCCGCCATGTTAAACTTCCCTATCCCAAGCGTGATGTATACAACTTCCTTACTTCTCGAGTGATGTAAAGTATCAAAAACTCACTCGGTGATGTAAAGAAACCCATTTAAATAACATTGAGTGCTTAACTTAAAAAATATAACTCTATGGAGCCAACGATGTTCAACGCTAGAAATCAGCTGTGCGCTTGAATGTTATTATTATGCTTTAAAGTATTTTCCTACCTAACCTAGCTTTTGTTAGTAAAAGAACGTTACTGATAGAAGATGAGTGAAATGGATAATGAAAAATATTGTACGTAAACCCATGTTTATTGTCGGGTCAGGTAAAATCTTGTACGTTACACGTTACGCAAGAGCGTGCTGTTTACATCACTTAGGTGAATTATGCAACTCGCTTCCGCTCGTTGCACAACATTCACCTGCGTGAAGTAAAAACGCTCTTACTACACTTGTAATGTAAATAGCTATTACGTAACCATTAAAAAATTGATTTTTGTTTACAAACATAAATTGGTAACGTAGTTATTTTGTATCAATTGAATTTGTACACTGAAACGATAACAATGTTTGAGGTTAAAACGCTATATAAGTTGTCCTAGACTGCTTTTTTTATCTTACAAACTATTTTGTGCTGATACATCTATTTTTTTTTAACATTTTAGTCATGTTGACAAAATATTTTGCAATTACATTTCTGAATCAGTCAGTAAAGGTAGATTTCGATGCATCATTGCTGAAAGTTATGTTTTGCTTCTCACTCTCAGAGTATTCCAAAGACATCTAATGTTTCAATCCATGTTCAAATGTTATATGAGTTAAACATATAACCGAATCAAATAAAGTACTTAAATTAAAATACATATTATTATCAACACGCATAATCTAGTTCAGATTATAATATCATCTCACAATCATATTTGTAAAACCTACTGTGGTGTTTTAACCAGTCCCCACTAACAAAAGTATAAAATGAAAGGTCCTAAAGAGGTTAACATTGAGTCATAACAAAAGTAGTTTAAAAGTTGTAACCGTGATACTGTAAATAATTTGATATTGTTAGATATTATACGATCGTTTTACAATTTTGTCAATCTATCTGTTACTTTCATACAAATGTATTTTTATTATTCAATGTTTTGTTTTGTAGAACCTTTAGTATTCTCAACTGTATTAATAACTAGTAGAATACCCGACCTTCGTACGGGGTTGGCATATAAGTAGTGTAATAATCTATGTCTAATCTATGCCTGCCTTCTTTCATATACAGTTTAACTAACATATGTTTTATCGATTATTATTTTTTGTAAACAGTCAAATAAATACAATCTTTTGTAAAGTCCTAATAGTCTATCATTTTTGTCTTGTCTGTCTATAATATTTTAACATTGGTGCCGAAACCCGGGATATAAATTATGTCAAGAAATATGTCAATCCGAAAGTCAGGGAGAGAGAAACACCCTCCAAATAGATATTCCCCAGAAAATGCAAATGACAAGAATGATGAACCCAAAGAAGGAGATAGTCAATCTCTAAAACCACCTTCTAAGTCAAAAACCAAATCTTCAACTTCCAGCAAGCGCCGGTTAGTTCAACTGCAACTAGAAGAAATAGAAGAAATAAACAGGCTTGAGAAAATACACGAAGAAAGGGAGTTGCAACGGCTGAAAGAATTTGAAGAAAAGGAGATGGAGCGACAGAGACAAGAGATGGAGCGTCAAATGCAGGAACAACAAAGGCAAAGAGAGGAGAGGGAAATGGAACGACAACGTCAAGCTGAAGCAAGAGAACTAGAACGACAGAAGCGTCTGCTGAGAGTAAGGACCGAACTTGAGTCTGCTTCGGTCTTGGGAAGTAGTCAGTGCGCCTCAGTCTTGGGCAGTCGTCATTTGGAATTGGAAGATAATGAAGACCCTGACAAGGTAAGCTTCAATATTGCTACTGTTGAGGAGGACTCTAATGTCAAAGTCAATAGGTGGCTGAATGAGGAACCGTCAGTTCCTTTAACATCGTCAGCCATCGTGTCTACGGCTATTGATAAACTAGCAGACTCCTTTTCAAAAGCTATCAATTCATCTAACCCCAACCAACCTGTCTCATGCCGACAGCGTCTTCCATCCTTCAGCGGGAAACCGGACGAATGGCCCATGTTCTATTCCTGTTACAATAAGACTAAACACCTTTTTAATGACGATGAAAACCTTGACAGAATAAGAAATTGTCTGGAGGGAGATGCCTTTAAAATGGTAAAACCTCTATTTATATCAGGTAAAAATTTGAGTACAGTAATGAAAACTTTACAAATGCGTTTTGGACGTCCAGAGTTTATAGTCGAGTCGATGTTGAAGAAGGCGCGCATGCTCCAACCAGTCAAGGAGGATGACGCTGTCAGCCTTATTGAGTTTTCAACAACTCTTTTAAACCTGACCTCTACCGCAGAGTCGTTGGATTTGGAAATGTACCTAATAAATCCTCTCTTGCTGAATGAACTTTTAAGTAAGCTCCCATATACCCTGAAGTACAGGTGGGCTGAACATGTAAATAGCATGCATTTAGAAAAACCTACTGACCTGAAAGTATTCTGTAACTGGCTTGAAAATCAGTGTTCCATTATGAGTATTTATTTTCGTCCACCCGAGGAGACAACGCGGAAGAGAAGTGACCCTAAACCAGTTTTTACTAATTCGCCCAATGAAAACGTTTGTATGTTTTGTTCGGAGAGTCACGAAACCGATAAATGTAAGCTTTTCAGAAAAGCAGAAGTCCCGCAGCGGTGGAAGATGATAATTGAGAAAAGACTGTGTTTCTTTTGCTTCCGTCGTCACCACATCAAATTTTGTAAGTTAAAGAAACCTTGTGGAATCAATGGGTGCAAACTATCCCACCATCGCCTTCTGCATACTGACAGTGCCTCTAAAAATTCCCAAGAAATCAGCCGGGACAGAGCAC